GGCGGCCACCCCCAGATCTCAGCTTGGGGCCAGCAGAGCCAGCTTTGCTCGTTTTTTAAATTTCTTTTTGGACCCACTACTGTGGGTGTGATTGCTGATTTTTGTTTTTGTTGGCCCAGGAGCTCCCCCTGGAGGTCAGAGGAGCAAAATGTGCCCAAGGACCAGAGCTCCTTGCTACCCACTGCTTGTGTCTGCAGGCAGAGGGGGAAATCTGGCCTTGTGTAGATCAGGCCCGCTGTCTTTTCTCTCCCAGGGTACCAGTGATCTGTAAGGACTTCCTCTCTCTTCCGTTTTCCCCCACCTGTTTTTCAGTCTTAAAATCGTTGTACATAATATTCATATTATATAAATATATATATATGGAGAGAGAGGAGATTGTTAGTGATTGTGTGTAATTTTATTTATCAGAACTTGGTGGCCTTTATTGTGAGTTTTTTCCTTTTTTGTTGTTGTTGTTGTGGAGGAACCTCCTGCTCTTTCCCTGTGAAAGTCTGGCTGAAAGTCTTCCATTCCCAGAATCTCTTATTAGCCAAATAGTCCCTTGTTGGGTACGTGGAGGGACGAGGTTTCGGAGGAGAGATCACCCCTTCCCCTCCTCCTCACTGACACTTGTTCTCAAGGTTACAGGGTTCAAACATATCAGATTATTATTGTCATTATTGTTATTGTTGTTTTAGTTTTAGTTTTAGTTTAACCAAAGGTTATCAGAGCCAGTTGGGCTTGGACCTCAGCTACTGAAAAGATTTTCCGTTTCTGGGAGGCTGGGAAACTGGCTGCCTCTCAGGCCTCCTCTGCCTAGGGTGAGGGAGGCATTGAATTCCATGGACAGGTAGGCAGAGTGGAGGCCTGCCCCGGGTTTTTCCTCAAGGTGGTGGGAGGGTGACAGACCTATCTTTAGAGTTAAGACAGTTAGGCAACAATGTAAGTATTGGGGGGTAACTAAGGTTACCATGGTGATTGCTGTCCAATGGTATTATTTTTGCTTTGCCCCTTGGATACATAGGATATTTGTCTTTGGGGACTAGCGTACTCTGAATTTATCTGGGGAGTATGGAAATGGCAGGAGCCAGAGTCAGATGTTGGCCAGAAAGATCCATCTTGCTGGTTTTCAATAGCTGTTCTCGCTGGGGAGCAAGGACTTGGGGCTGGTGGATGGGGGGACAACAAGAGTGTTAGTGACCTGCCTTCAGGGTGCGATCCTGGTTTTGGCCTGGCTGCCTCCCTCCCCACCAAGTTCTTTTTTGAGTTAGTTGCCAGTGGGCCCCGCTTGTACCCTTGCCATGGGCCCACAGCTTGCCGAGAAAGACCCCAACGCTCGCTGGGGCAGCACCAGGTCCAGTTGGGATGAACTGGTTCATCCTTTGTAAAGATGTAAATACGTAATTTTGGTTTTCTATTTCTCAGCCCAGTGTCATATTGACATTGGTATTTTAGAATTGGTCTCAGATGGGCTCTCCTGTGCTGCCCTCTCTCACTCTCCTATTTTGGGGGGTTTTATAAAAAGAGAGGATTGGGGAGGGACAGGGAGAGTAGCTTCCTTTGGGCTCCCTGGTTGTGGAGCACACACACACACACACACATACACATACTTCTCTGAGACTCTGAACAGGGAAAAAAATGATTTGCCAGTAAACACATTTTGTTTTCTTGTGGCAGTATGTCTAGAGGTGTCTGATGGGCCTGTCCATCATGGATTTAGCTCTGTGGATGTAGCTCATATGACCTGTGGAGAATCAGACCACTTTGGCTTGGGATGGGGGAGAGGGTGTGGGGCAGGGGATCATATAAGGTGTAACTTAAGCTAAATGTAATCTATTTATAAAGGAAGAGACTCTCATCTATTTTTATGAACGTTTTTTTTAAAATCTAGGGTAGGCAGTTATGGTAGCCCAGCATTTTTCTGTGGACAAGATGCATGTTGCTGCTGGATTTAATATAATCAGTACCCCTCACCTGTCTCCGCATCATCACCACCTACTCATCCACACCCACGAGTGGCTTCAGCAGAGTGTAGGTCACCCCTCACCTCATTTCCTTCTCCCTTGATCCCCCAGCTCCTTGGTCCTTGGAAGTCCAGGGGGCTGGGCACTTGTGGGAGTGGGTGGACAGTGGGGAATTCAGAACGGAGGTGGGTGGTGGGAGGGAAGGGGGGCACTAGGTAGGGGACAAGCTCTGCTTCAGAAGGTGGGCTCCGATTAGTTGCTCAAACTCTGGTCTGCCAAGATCCATTGCCAGGTCGGCTGTATTTGGAGAGAGCTGAGAAGCAGTAGGGTGTGGGTGGCAATGGGCTGTTGGTTCACGGAGCCCACAGCTTCCTTGGGGCCTGGGCCTCCGTGGGTCCAAGGTTGTCAGGCAGCTGGAGCAGGAGTGCAAATGCCATGAGATGCCTACAGCCCAGCCCTGGCTGTGCCAACCCCAGGCCAAGGCCTGGGATGCAGTCCTTGCTGTGCTCTTCCAGGGACCTGGATGAGGAACTAGGGTGCTGGGAGCTTCCTGGGTCCTCCACCTTGAGACACCAAGCTCTGGTTCTAGAGGGCACTCTCCTAGAGTGGGGAGTCTGGAAGCAGCCAGGTGGGTGTCAGTAAAGGCAGATTCTCTCTGGAAGGGAATTTTCCATGAGTGGAAGATTTCCAGGCTCTGGGTGGGCTGCTTGTTAGTCTCAGGCTAAATCCCTCACCATTCCCTCTGCCAAGCCCTCAAAGAGATGAGGCAAAGGCAACCCCACCCACAGACCCCTTCGTGGACATTTTAGCATCTACCTGATTTTTAGCCCCATCCAGGGAGACTTTCTATCCTGAAGTCCCATCCTACCCCACTGTTGCTGTTTGTCTGCCAGCTGGGTCTAGCGTCAAGGGGAACGGGGGGTTTATATTCATTGAAAGACTACTGATCCTACCGGAAACCAACCTGTTTACTGTACTGTTGTAAATATCATGCCCTTTATATCCTGTATATTGGCTTCTTTTAAATAAAGTGAAATGTCTTAGAATTGATGGTGCCTTTTTTTTTTTAATTAAGGATAAAAAAAATTAAGGATAAAGAGGTGATGGGGAGGGGCAAGAGGATGGTGGGCCACATAACCACTAAAGTAATTAGCTGATTAGTGATCAAATAGGGAAGTTTCACATCACCTGTTATATTTGCATCTCACAATAAAATCTTCACAAGTAGTTAAAGCAGAAATTATTATACATATTTTACAGAAGGGGAAGAGAGCCAGAGAGATCACAGACTGAATAACTGGCATAGCCTGGTTTGGAGTTGAGGTCCTGTTAATCAATCGACCCCATTTCATAAACCTCCTCACAGTGCCCTTGAAAGGCTACCTCCTAGGCTCTGGATTTGACACTGTCCAATATTCTAGTTTCTTTCTGTTAATGGCTGAATTCAGGGAGACATTGACCTGTGTGAACTGGGCCCATGACTAGGGTTTTCTTCAAGGATGAAGAAAAACAGCCACTGCCAATTCCAATTAACTTTTTACCATCTCTAAGACTTGTGCTTAATGTACAAATGGCTCTCCAAACCTGCAAGTTTCTCATCCTTGGAGAGGGAAGGCTGACTGTACTGTGCCACCTTATGTAAGAGACGTGAGCATCGTGAATTTGGTATCTGCGGGGGCTCCTGGAACCAAGGCCCCACCAAGACCGAGAGACGACTGTAGTTTCCTTTCCCACTCCCCATTCTGTTTAAATTCTCCAAAGTGCCTTAAAGAGTGTGCCCTCCTGGAGAAAGGAGTAGCATGAAATAATGAGGGCGTTCTAAGGTGGGTATTATTATCCCCACTTTACAGGCTTGGAAACTGAAGCCCAGGAAAAATTACGTATTTCGCCCTTGTCATAGGGAGAAACCATGATCAGCAACTGAACTCTGACTCCTAAGCAAGTTCTCGGTACACGCTGCTAGAGGAAATATAAACAGATATATTAGAAGGGAGCGTTAGAAAAGCTGTTAACAGTACTTTAGGAATCGAATGGGTCCCTAAGATTCCATCCTCTGGAAGACTTCAGAAACCGAGTTTTAAATAACGTTCACGTGTTCATCAGGCAGAAAACTTCCCCGAAAATTCAAATTTTGGTGCGGGGCGCAAAAATAAAGCACAGGAGCAACTGGTTCCGCGTCCATAGGCTTTGAAGGAAAGCCTGAGCATAGACTGGCTCCGGTTTTATCTTTTATTGATCGTAATCTGCAAAGAAGCAGGCTGATTTATCTAAGCGCTAGGCCTCAGGAAGCTGGGTGGCCCCGCGCCAGGCCGGGAGGTGGAGGGCGGCTGAGTCCCAACCAGGAGGCTAGAGCCAGGGGCAGCAGGCTCATTCCAGGGGCTGCAGCCCCCGAGTTGAGGTGGGGGGCTGGCCGCTATGCAGCCCTGCACGGTCGAATAGTCTAGCAGCCACTGGCCAAAGGCAGCGAGAGTGGTAGGGCTGGGACTCTAGCTGTCCCTGACTGGCAGACCCGCTGTCCTTCCGCGCCGCCTCACACGTGCCCTATTCCCGCTCTCTTATTGGCTGCTTCAGCCCCTCTATCCCGGCCTAAGGAGACTGCTACATGACCGCCCCTCTGATTGGTCCAGGAGCTTCCATGTATCATTCTGATTGGTCGATGGAGCTCACTCCCTTTTGCCCTCGGCCCCCTTTGGAGGGCGACTGGGTCATACCATAAAGAGAGGAGGGGGAAGTGTGTACATTTCAAGGCTTCTCTTTCGGGCAATTTTGCCCTATGTCACATAACATCCTTTATCATGCCCTAAAAAGGTAATTATTTTATTAGCAGAAGGTAAATACAGAGGCGTTTCGGTTGAGCCTGGCTTGGAGGACGGATGGGGTGACGTGTTCCCCCCGCCAGCCGAGGTGGTACGCTCAGGGCGGGGCAGCGCAGTAGAGCCGCTCTGGGGGCGAACGGTCCTGCAAACAGCAGTGCCGAAAGCTGAAGATGCTGCTGCTGTCGCCGCCCGCGCTCCGCCGCGCCCTGCTGACTCGCCCGTGGAGGGCTGCCGGGTGAGTGAGTACCAGGCCTGGGGAGGCCCCTCGCGGCGCCTGCTGCCCCGGGGTCCCGGGAGTCGTTGGGCGCTCCCTCGCCCCCGAGCCGGACTCCCTCCCTGCCAGACCCTCGCCGGGTTTCCTAGGGCCTCCCCTCCGCCGGGGGTCACTTCCTCTGATGCCGCCCGACCCCCACGCAGGCCTTCCTCCCATTGCTATACCCTCGTCTCCCAAAGTTCTTCCTTCAGCTAGGGGGACCCCCTTCCCGAATCCTGCTGCGGGGTGGGGGTGTCTCGGTGCCCTGTTGGCTCCCACGCTTAGAATTAGCCGCTTAATCACTTCTCCTTCTCCTGATGCTGGATCTTCGAAATTTGCCCACCGCCGGAGTGCAGTGCCTTCCTCCCAGGGCACCTCTATTTTTAGCACACCCCGCTTCTCACCTCCCCACCCTCGGTCTCACATTCAGGACCCTCCCTGGGTCTTCCCTCTCTTCTGTCTACCGGCATTTCTATTTCTCTCTTTTCTCCTTCCCCTTTTTAAAAGTTGTGTTGGGCAGAGAAAAGGACCCCTTTCTTCTGATAGGTGGAATAATAATACTTACGGAGTGCGTAGAACGTGCCAAACCTGTGCTACGCACTTGGGGTATGTGCCTTATTGTGATGATTAATAAATAAGTTGCTACGTGTAAAGTGCGTTGAACAGTGCCTGGCACATAGGCAGTGCCCAGTTACTATTAATCATGACCATCATTATCACTCTTATTTAAACTTCTCCTGGGGGTAGCTGTTATTCCAAATTACAGATGAAGACACCAAGGTGCAGTTTCAGAGCGGAGCTGCCCTGCAAACCCAGATTTGCAAACCCCCGCACTGTGGAGTTGGGTTCCTGGACCCTTGCCCACTCAGCGACAAATGTTCTCAGAGCCCCTTTCTGCCTCTGGGCTTGGTGGAGAAGGTAGGTAGCACACAGATCCTGCCCCAGAGGGGCTCACGGTCTGGTGAGGCTGCACCCCTATGGACCCGTGTTTCTGTCCATCTCCCTTTCAGAGCTGGGCAGCCCCTGCCCCCAGTGTTTGCCTGACCTCTAGGACTCACCAGTTACGTCTCGCCTGCTGAGCTATGCCCTTTCTGAGTTAATCAGTGTCCTAAGGGATGGTGCAGGGGTGCCCTGGGCATGGATGAGTCCCAGCGCTGCTGTGTATTCTCTATGGGGGAGTGGGACAGGGAAGAGGACATGGCCAGGAAGGGCTCTTTTTCCAAACTGAGGACGGGGGCCATGCTCACTACACCCTCAGCGTGGTCCCGTTTGCAGGCCTCTCCCTGCACTCTGAGACCATCCCTCTCAGACCCTAGATGGAAGCCACATAGATTTACCTGTTTACTGAGTACCTGCCGTGTGCACGTGCTTTGCTAAACGCTGCGGGCCGGCGGGGGGTGGGGGGGGTGGGGGGGTGTACCCAGGGGATTTACACGTGGATGGGAGCCTTCCAAGAGTTTTCAGTGTAATGGGGAAGAAAGCCTTAAACATTAAAAAAACACAAAAACCCCTCTAATATCTATTAGAAAGAAATCCCTATTCTGAAAAAAAAAAAAAAAAGCTCATAACAGCAATAGCTATCAAGCAATCAAGTACCATAGGCCTGATTGTGCAGATAAGCCCTGTATTATTACCATTTTACAGACGGGAAACTTATCTGCCTGTTCAGACAAATGTGAGACTAAAATCGCAGTCAGTCTGACTCCAGACTCATGCTCTTAATTACAAAGCCTCCTGAGCGGAGAAAAAGCATTTTGCAATCCGAGAAAGCGTTTTGCAACCAGATCTGCCAGTTCAGGTTACTTCTTCAGATACAGCAGCTGGCCCGCTGCCCCAGACCGGGTTTCCCACCTCGGCAGTATTAACATTTGAGTCTGATAATGCTTTGCTGTGGGAGCTGCCCTATGCATTGCAGGGTGTTTAGCAGCGTCTCTGGCCTCCACCCACCAGATGCCAGGGCATCCCCCAGTCGTGACAACAAAATAATGTCTCCAGACATTGCCAGCTGTCACCTGGGGGGCAAAATCACTCCTAGTTGCGAGCCATGGTTCTAGAAGGACAGTTTCGGTGTTTGGTCACTTGTTCTTTTAGTCGACAGATCCTTAGAACACTCCTGTGGCATGCCGTGTCTGCAGGTACGGACAGACAGCTTCAGGACATGTTTAGTGATATCTCTCAGTGTCCTGTACGTGAAGCTGAGAAAAACCATCTCTTGGGGAACTGGGATGGGTGCTGTTCTCTAGTGTTTCCCTTTCTGCCTGGAGTGCCAGGAATCTCAACCAATTTTTAAACATACTCTTGATTGTACATTTTCTTTTTATTGAATTAGTAGGTGTCCATTGTACAAAGTACAGATAAAGCAAAAAAGGGTTACAAAAAATTGCCTGGCAGCTCACCACACAGAGGTAACCACTGCTGTCACTTTGATTACTAGCCTTTTAATATTCCAGGAGTATATATGCTTTAGAAAAATAACATAAAAATGGGCTCCCCTGCAAATCCATTTTTGTAGCTTGCTTTTTCACTTGAGACTTCTCTACCTTATTATATGTCCCCAGGGCCTAGAACTGTGACTGCCACCTGGTAACCCTCAGCAAACGTTTGGTGAATGAAAGAACGATCACGTGATTCCTTACTTGCCAACAGAGATTTATCACAACCAGTCTGGGAGACAATCATGACAAACACCTGGCCTTTACGGATGGCCCAGGAATGGTCACTACGGGCTACCATTTACCTTTTACGTGGATGATGTTACTTAGCTCCTCAGCAACCTATGATGTGGGTGTTACTATCCCCACTTCACGGATTAAACGGCTGAGGCCTGTGGAAGTTAAGGAAAACTTGTCCAAGGCCTTAAGCTGGTAAACACCAGACCTCCCAATTGATTGCCTTTTGTCTCCTTTGGCCCTGACCTGCCTGCCCTTTTCTCTATTTCATTAACTTTTTCATGGGTGTCCTCTGCAAAGGCTGTGCTCTGCAACGGGAGAGGCCACAACAGCGAGAGGCCTGCGTACTGCAAAAAAAAAAAAAAAAAAAAAAAGAACTAACCCGGGCTCATAGGAAGCTTACAATAAATGTTAATTTTTGTCCCTTACATACTCTTGTATCAGACCTTGCTGGGTGCCGGGGTCCAGAGGTGACTCCAGTTCAGCACCCCCCCAGTGTCAGGGGGCTTGCGGGCTGGAATTCCCCTGCAGAAATCCTGGTAACTTTGGACCCCTCTCAGCCCACCAGCCTGTCTAATTTTCCCCATTTCAAAACCCCCCAGTGCTTGTCCCAGCCTGCCCGCCCCTGGGATGGGCAGAGGCTGTACAGGGCGGGGGCCTGGTACCTCCCACCATTCCCTGGACAGACTCTGCCCTTTCACTCCTCCAAGCGGTGGCCAGGGCAGTGCCTCTTGCCTGGAATGTCCTCCCCTGGTGAGCACATGCTCACCCAGCACTTTGTGGCCGTGCCAAGGCAGCTCTCCTTTGGCCCTTCAATGCCCTGTCTGTAAAATGGGAATAATCCTGTTAACAGGCATGGAGCACAAGGGTTAGAGATGACGTGACAAGTGGCTTGGTGGGGGCCTGGGACTCTGTGCGCTCTGTGAATAAGTTGAGTAAAAGAATAAGTAGAACCTACAATGATCATAATACTTGCTTCTAAAGGTGTCAGAATCCCCACTCAGGCAGCAGTCGGCACCAGCACACGGACCCTGGGGAACTTGGCTTCCAGTGCCCAGCACCTGGTTGGGCACACAGCAGGTGCTGAACAGTTGCTGTTGGAATGGCCCACAGGAGAGCCCGGGTGGATCCTGGCTCTACCTCTTAGCAGCTGTGTGGCCCTGGGCAGGTTGCTCGACCTCTCTGTGCTGCCTCTTGTTCCCGCGTGGAAAAGAAAGATAATAGTGGAATTGTCTTGGAGAATAAACGAATTCATATGCGAAAACCACTTTGAAGAGTGGCCAGCACCTAGAACACGTAATGTGTTGCTTCAAGCATTATTTTGATCCCCTCCCCCACTAGCGGGCATTGTTATGCAATGAAAGCCCTGAGCTTCCCTCCCCACCTCAGGGTGGCCTCTTTGCTCCAGTGGGAAGAGAGGAGGTGCCAGCTGGGCGGTTAGGAGGATGAACCTGTCCCATCAGCAGGCCAAAGGTGTCTGAGATGCTCCCCATGCTTCTGCCAAAGCGTGTCTCCTAAGTGAGGGAACCTGGCTTCCGATCCTGCACCGTCACTCCACCAGCTGTGACCATGAGCCCTTAATCTCTGAACCTCAGCGTCCTCCCTGTACAATAGGTGTAATAAGAGTTTGCAGGGTAATATATTTGTAGGGTGGATTCAATGCGCTCATCACTTAGCACTATGCCAGAGGCATGCCGTAAATGCTTCAGAAAAGTTCTTTGAAGTTTTCCAGGGCAGCTCAGCCTGGGCTTCAGGCCCCTCCCTTCTGGCCCTGCCCTGGGCTCTGTACTTTCTCTCAGCTCACCTCCATCACTGGTGCCTTATCTCAGTGATAAGGAGAATTGGTCTTATCAGGTCCCAGATAACAGCCTGGAAGCTGAATGAAGCAAAGACAATTTCCTTTCTAGTCCTCTCCTTGGCCTTGGCTGCCCTGACCCCAGCCGCTGGGGACCTGCATCCAGCAAAAGAACATTGCCTGGGAGTCCCGTCCGTCCCGGGGGCCTGGCGTCCACTTGTGTGTTAATTGTTTTAAAGGTATTTCTCATATGCTTACTGTGGTCTGGGCAGTGTGGGAGCACAGACAATCAGAGCTCTGTAATGAGGGTTGTCACCTGTGAGATGATCTGATAGGGGTCCAATCCAGGCAGGGTGAGGCTGGTATCCCCTGCAGAGGGAGATGGGGGTGGGGTGGAGTGGAGACCAGGGTGGTAGGATTGCAGCAGATGAGGTGGGAGGGGGTGGGGGGTGATGGGAAATGAGTCTGGAGGCCTCAGTAAGGATTCTGATTCTTTTCTTTTTTTGGCCGTGCCACGTGGCATGCGGGATCTTAGTTCCCGGACTAGGGATTGAACCTGTGCCCCCTGCAATGGAAGCGCGGGGTCCTAACCACGGGACCGCCAGGGAAGTCCCAGGATTCTGATTCTTTATTGTAGAAGAAAATGGGAAGCCACTAAGTTACGAGCCGAGCACTTACCCTCCGTCTCTCTGTGTTGATCATGTTTTCATGTTAAGACTATGAAAACCAGTAGCTGCTACCTTTTGACCTTCTGCCCTGGGTGGGACGCAGGACTAAGTTTATTCCAGCAGTTTTGAGAGGAGCTTGGAGTCAGTGGAGCCGGAATGACTGTTGTAGTTGTCCAGGCAAAAGCTGATGGTGCCTTGGACCAGGGTGGAGGCCGAGGGGTGGCCTGGGAGCTCAGCCCCTGGCAGCAGCCCCCTCAGTTTTCCCCTTTGTAAATTTCAGAGCTTGCAGGTTCTAAATTTCACCCACTGCAGGCTATGTTTTGGTGTTGCAGCCTACGTTTTGGTGTTGCAGCCTTTTTAGCTCAGATCCTGGTACCTGCCGAGGGTGAGGAGGGGCAGCTGGGGTCTCAGGCCCAGACCGTGAAGTCCTCAGGTGAGCAGAAGGGGCACCCCGGGTTGTTAGGGGAAACTGAGTCAAATTCAGACTCTGCCGTATGCTTCTTTCCTGAAGCGGGAGGGCTGAGAGCTGCCCTAAGAAGGTTGGATTGGATTCACCTTTGTGTCCCAGAGCCAGGCACCTGCCAGGTGTGATGAACACATGGTTTGGGTGAGCTGTTTGACCTCATCTGAGCTATCTCTGCATCCTTGCCATGGGGGATAGATCTGTGCTGACTGACTGACTGAATGAATGAATGGGAATACAGTCCTGCCTAGAAGGGCCTCGCAGATCCTTGTAGAGGCCCCAAGTCCTGCAAGTGGTTCACGCTGCCTTTCCCTGAGCCAGTGGAAGGGTGCTCATGTTATCCCAAAGGGCACATGAGCCAAAAAAAAAAAAAAAAAGAAAGTTTGTCAGGCATCCTTGGATTATTTTTGGCTCTAGTTGACTCAGGCTGATCTTTGAACTAGTCTCTGTTCCCTAAGCTACGTTCAGACTGATGGACAGCGGGGCCGGGGCCTGGAGACTTTCCAGGCAGAGAGAAAGCCACGGGGGCATGTGATCCTGAGGTCACAGTGGACCTCTGCCCTGGGGAAGGTCGGGGGAGACCTGTAGGATTTCTGGTTCTGACGTTGCTTGGCAGGGAACAGGGAGAGGAGGGCTGGTAGCTGCTACCTTTTGAACTTCTGCCCTGGTGGGACACGGGGCTACGTTTATTCCAGCAGTGTTTGCTGAGCCCCCAGGCCAGCCCCTGATCCTGGGGGTGTCTGGGAACCATTTTGCCTTTGAAAGCCTGGCCTGGTGGAGTAAACATTCTGGAAGACCTTTACAGTTTCTTAGGAAAACCTAAGAGCAGGAAGGGTGAGGAGAGGCAAGGCTTGTCATCCTTACAGTGACCCTGTGCGGAACATGGTGTCACCCATTCTTCAGGTGAGGAAACAGAGGCCTGCGGAGTTTGTAATAATGTGCTGAGGTCTCGAGCAGGTGTGGGGGTCCATCCGGGCTCTCTCTGCTTCCAGAGCCTTTGCTTTTCACACCCGCCAGGACTTGGGGTCAAGAGGGGGCTTGGGTGGCCCCGCTTCTGGCTCCCAGCCCAGCACGCAGGGGCTCTCTCCTGGCTTGAAGAGGACCAGGTGATATCTGATTCACTGCTTTGTGGTGGTGCGCTGCTACTGAGGCCCAGAGAGAGGCATCTGGAACCTTCCAGGTGGTGGGGGGTGGAGGAGTAGACGCCACCCTCCCCTTTCCTGACGGGCTGTTGAGACCTGTGGCCGCTGACATTTTCTGGCCTCTGCATTCTTCCCCACCGCAGTAGGTGGAAGGGGGCCGTGTGGATTTTCAGGTTTTGGGCACACGTGTAGCTTTGCATTATTATTTCTTCAGATCTCCAGAATAACCCCAGGAGATGGGTTATACCGAGGAATCCAGCTGAAGGTCACACAGCTCCACAGAGGGCGAAGGAACCTCACATTTCTTCCTCTGTTTGGGGAAGGGTGGGGCCTGAGGCTTGCTGGCTTCCTTGGGTGTGGTGGGTAGGGCTGGGGTGGACCTGGAGGGAGGGGCAGGAGAAAGCCCCAAGGCTCACTTTGCCCTCCTGGGCACCCGGCCCC